CCCCCATACACAGACACACACGCAGAAAGTGCAGAGAAACCCTGTGATCCAGTCAACTGGCTCTGCCCCGTCTATTAAGAAAGATGAACACTCCTTTCTCTTCCATCTCCTTCATGGGAGACCACTTTTCATTTCAGATTATCACATCAATAAATATTCTTCGAGGAATAAAAAGGCACTTTGCCAAAAGATAAGAGAGTCTATATGAAATGTGTGGATTGTGGAGAAAGACAATACATGAATGCAGGAGAATAGGCACATATATGTAAATGTGCACATAATCACCTCTGAGAACGCAAAGCACGGGAGGCAAAGACAAACAGAACACCTGGAGAGAACACATATCGCTCACAAGGTCCTCACAGACTGTGCACGCTCTCCCACACACCAAGGCACACACCACACCCACTGACCGTCACGCAGTCTCCCCCTCCACACACACGCGCACACACACAAACACACACGAACCTCAGAAAAGGCATCCAAATGAATTCACACTCAGTGGAAAGACTGCGAGAAAATGCTAGAGAAGAATTAAAATAGTTCATCCCTTCCCCCTCCAAAAAAAAAAAAACTCAAGCGAAATGACTCTATTTGCATAATACTAATATACGCAGGACGCAGACACGGGCAAGAAAAGAAAAAAGACTCCATTTGATGCACACCAGAGAATGCGAGTATACACACACACACAAACACGCACACGCACGCACGCGCGCCTGCGGGCGGGACACACCCACAGCCTATGTCCTCCGCCCACGGGCACGGGCAGAGCACCGATGCCATCAACAGCGCTCAGTACAGTTGTCCAGAAAACATCAATGTGAGAAAAACGAAAGAAAACCACCCTATTCAGCCACGGAAGCACCACTGGAGAACCGAGGTTTTCTAAACACACACACATACACAACAGGCACACACACACTCCCTTGTTAGACAGGAGAGTTGAGTTCAAAGAAATAATAGATGCACAATGGATAACTGAGTGCTGGAGAATGTCATCCGCTTAAACAATACTTTGAAATTATTTCAGCCTGAAGATAGCTTTCTGGGTTGCTCCCTGAAAAATCATACCTAAGAAAAATAAAATCTTCTCATTGCTCCTGCTTTCCTTTTACTTTCTTTTTTCTTCTTTTCTTTTTATTTTTCAATGACCGAATAGAGGGAGAATCCCCTTTCCTCCAAAGGAGGGTAGCCCTGTTTTTGTTTTTCGAGTCCATGAGCTTACAGTTCATTTCCTAGTGCAGAAAGTGCCGGGGAGCGGTCCTCTGCAGCCTCCCAGCCAGACAGCGCCACAAAAAGGCATTATCACACATCCAAATAACGAGGGTTGTCTATATATTTACAAATCTGTTCCAACATTTAACCTTTTAACTTGCTAAATATCCCCCTCTTTTCTTTCTTTCTTTCTTGCGCTCTCGGCTCTCCCCTCTTTCTGCTTTCTCCTCCTTTTCCTTTCTCTTTCTAAAAGAGGTAGGGACGGGAAGCGCCTTTTCTTGAGTCCAAAATGAGTACAGGGACTCTGAGCTTTACCTGACCCTATTCGAATGCCAATTTCGTTTTCAGGCAATTGCGTTTTTGCCAGCCAAAAGATCGGGATTGGATCACCAGGGCTACATTTTTAAAGTAGAAGCTTGTATGTTGCCTTCCAGTTTTTAAACTGCCGCGGAAAAGCATCCCCTAAATCGGAGGGATTTTTCAGACCTTTTAAAAGTTGCCAGTACCCCCAATCCGTGATGTTTCCCTCCGCGTTGCACCTCCTGCCCGTCAAGTGACTAGTAGAGGGGACTTTCTAAAGGCAGCCAGAAAGTTTCGACAGTATTTGGCGACCCAGTCAAGGCCGGGGTGCGGCACACTCCTACTGCAGGGGCCAATTTGGAATTCCATCTTTGAGCATTTCTCACTGCTCAATCTTTTCTTATGAGACTAATAACCTCATTCTCAGGACCAATGTAAAATGTGAAACTATAGAGCCAATGGGCCTTTGATGCAGCAGAAGTGTTAGATTTCTCAAAAATTGGGGCATTCTTACTTTGATGCACACAGAGAAAAGGAAAGTTGTGCCTGGGCGTGGTGGAAAGGCGCAGGCGGCGGGCTACCGCCCCGGGCGGTGCCAACGCCCTACTCTGCAGGCAGGTGCCCTGGGTGGGCTTCCATTCAAAAGACCCACAAACACCCTTACCCCAGGATCTTCACTCTCCGCCCAGGACTCTACTGTGATGAAATTTAAAGTGGCCTGGAGGGGCTTGTCCCTGCCATTCTGGGTTTTCTTTTCTAAAATAAAAGAATTGCAAGAAAAATTCATTGCCTTTGAAGTTGAAACAGAAAGGGTGACTTCCTCTTGGCACATTTCCTCTGGCCTAGAACAATGACTTTATTTTTGTGTTTGTTTGTTTGTTTCTGAGTAGTGAAAAAATGAAACTGCAGTTTAGACATCATGTGTGTCTCGGATTTGTTCAGGTGTCCATAATATTTCAGCTTCTTCCAGCTTTAGATGAGTGCTAGCCTCTGAGGTGCCCCACCCGGGATCGGCCGGAAAGCGCCTAAGGAAACCCAGCTCTCACCTTGGAAGCTTGCCTTCAACAATCTCAAGTTGGGGTTACACTTCTCGGTGGTCCAATAGCCCGGAGACCCTGGGTATTCACCAGTCGCTGACTCTGAAACGCGCCTGTGTGCGAGGTAATAATGACCTTGCTCGCGGCTGTCAGGGCTGGCACGCGGCACCAAGGGCACTAAGGGCCGACCAAACCTTGGACAAGGGGAAGGGGGATATGGATAACGTATATGTTTTAAAGAGGTTTACTGAAAACTTTTACAGATCCCAAATAGGAGATGGAAGGAAGGCTAAGTGAGTTAAAAAAAAAAAAAAGAAAGAAAGAAAGAAAAAAGAAAAGAAAAGAAAAGAAAAGAAAGAAAAAAAAAGTGTGTTTACTCTTTGTACCATGACAGATCCGGGAGGAAAAACGGTGGCACTAGATTATTATGCGGTGCTTTCTGTAAAATGCCATCAATTTGCATGCTTGTGTGATGGTCAGGACATTTTCCCCCTATTGCACAAACCCCTTATGAAAACTGCAGGCAGTTTAAGAGTTTTCCTGTTCTTCCTGATCAGAAAAGATATTCATCCAGAGACATTATCTAAATCTGCAAAAGAATGAAGGCTGCTTGTCATTCGTCCTTCGTCTCCAGTAATGTGTGCCACCCAATTAGAAGCAATTTGAGCAATCAAGGCCGTTATGAGAGAAGGGGGTGTTAAAAATAGGTTTTCTATAGCCTCAGAACTCTAATTCGGAAGAAAATCTAAAATTACATATGTATCATTTCTTTATATAAAATAAATATATAATCTGAGTGTCTCCTGTTAGTTCTTATTTTTTCATCCATGGTCCCTCCCCCATTGCCTGCCTGCCTTTTGGGAATTCATAGCCGAAGTCAAGTGTAAAGCTCAGATGAAAAGGGAGTAGGGACCCTAAAAAAAGTCTTTCTGAGACCTAACCAGAGGATCTGGAAGGGGCTTGGCCCAGTCTTTCCGGGGCTTCTGGCTGCTGTAGCGCCCCTGATAGTGGTTGTTATCTGACTTTCATCCGCGGTGGGCGGAAAAGTCCCAAAAGTAGTATCCCGAGATGGAGGGACCCCCATCCCTCGAGTGAACTAGTATGACCCCGGGACCCTGGGTGTCAGGGGTAGTGGACTGAGAAGCTGGGCTATGGTCACTGGAGTCAAGTCAGAAAAGCTGCCGGCACGCGCGTTCATCTTGGGAGTTAGGGGATGCAGAAAAAGAGCTAAGAGGATGTGTTGGGAGAAAGTGGGCAAGTAAAACATGTTTCCAAGCCGAACACGAGAGTAAAAAACGTTAAAAAAGTAAAACAAAACAAAGCATAGACCCCATGCAATGTCCTCTAGCAGCAGCGATGTGCTCAGGGTGTCACATCTTACTCATGTCCCGCATTCCCAAGGGGTGAGCGCAGAGTGGATCCAAGTCGGGACCTGGTGCCCAAGTGCACCAGTGGCGGACTCTGACGCCTCTTGTTTGCATTAAACCGGTCCCTTAGCATTGCTGTTTAAGAGGCGTCTTTATTCTCTCCAGCTCCCAGAAGAGAGTTGAAGAGAGCCGGTCGGGAAACCAACAAGAGCAAAGTTGGCAGAACTTCTAGGAAGTGCAGAGCCAGCGCTTGCTCTTCCTGCAGGCCCCAGAGTTGGAACCCACTCCTGATCATTTGATGCCTTTGGCCAGCTGGGTCAAGGTTATCTGGAAATGAATGGTGTTCAAAGTCAAACACCGAAAACCTGAACCCTGAAAGCCCTGGCGGGCAGGAGGGGCAGAGAGGAGTCGTTCACTGTACTAAGCCGAGCTCTGGGCCCAGAGCGACAAGAGTCGCTGAGGCAGGCAGGAAGTATCCCCTGCACACCACGACCGGACATCAGCCGTCTCTAGCAAGCTGACAACCTCCGGAGTGAGAATTAATCACCTGGCAATAACTCCCTTCCAAAACCCAGTGTTCTGGACGGAGTTTAAGTCAAAACAGTTTTCCCTTCCCAGAGGTTCTAAGGGTCCAGAATGAGTGTGGAAGTGGGAACGAATCTTGTCGCCCCACACAAATGTGACACCATTGTTCCAAAACAACAGCGGTTCCGGAAGAGGTAGCAAAGCCTCAACAGGACGAACTGAGGATACACATTTGGGTTTCTCAGAGTGTGAGACACAGATCAACTGTCAGGCAAATGCCAGGGCCCCATCACCTCCAGGTGATCCTTTACAGAAGTTTCTGGTACATGGCTACAATAATATTGCAATATTAAAATTCTTCCTAATAGCACTTAATTTATTTCCTATTTATTCTGCTTGCTTGTATCTGGTTTATAAACTGAAACCACTTGATTGTTAACAAATATATCGATTTAACAATTCAAAAAGTATTTCTGTTTTCAAATACTTTTCCCTTGAAAGTAACGTTAACATTTCTTGAATTTAAAGCTTCATGAAAATTAATTGCTTCCAGAATTTTTTGTAAATGTAAATATACTATATTTTTACACAATCGAGTTAGAAATAGGTGATATTTTTAAAATATAGACATACTAAGAAGATTTTTGCTAATGACGTTTTCTGATTTAATAAACACAAATATAAGCATTTCTTAATTTAATTCCTCCTTTTACTTCATAATGTCACAATATGTTGAAGCAGAAATCAGAATAGATGGTATTGACAAGAAATGTATCCTTTAAAAGTCAAATTTATCGTTTAAATTGGCTCTTCTCATAAAGCAGCTCTAAGTTTAGTATATGTGTATAAATTTATGCATACAACATAATATAGTCTTTTCTCTGCTATTAACTAGCCAGGGAAATTCAAGTCCTTTACTCTTAGTATATCACAGCTTTTTAAATTTGAGAAATTGAACTAAATAATCTCCAATTCAAAAATTATAGTTTTTGAAATATTTTACTTCAATGTACTCTGCAGTTATATAAAAATAACAAGGCAATAATAATATCAAAATTAAAATTTCCCCATAATATTTTCCGTAATTAGAACCAACTCATGTTTTTGCTGTCTACAAAGACTTCCTAACCTGATCCATCACTCCTAATAGTCTAAGAGTCCATTAATATATGGTAAAGATGAAAAAGAATTGTGTATCTTTATGCATGTATCTTTATTTTTATGCAAAGGAGGTCATATCTTTCACTGGATACCCAATGAGATTTATGATTCAAAAAAGAACCACTGATCTACACTTGAAGCCTTCATAAGTGAGAACACAACCACCACCACAGCAATCACTGCATTTACATTTTGGATATAAGTAATAATTTTTCTAGACATCCTGGAATGTAAAATAAGCTAAAAATGAAGAGATTTTTGATTGGGTCTTCCTCTAAATATCTAGTGATTTTAAATGAGATACCTTATCCTGCTGGGGCCTAATTTACCCATACAATTAAGAAATTGAATCAGATGAGCTCCCCAAGTCTGTCTAGTCTTACAAGTCCATAAAGTTCTGGACAGTGTGCAGAGTAACTGGATCTGTCATTATTCAGTGTTTTTCAAAGCAAACATCACAATTTAGTCATAAGAATATGCTTTACTTCTTTGTGATCTTTTTTGCACCTTTCTGTAGCTCTTCCTTTGCGTGGATGAAATGATTAGTTCTTAAAGTAATTTAAAGGTACCAAACGCTATGTAAAGTTCTCCAGTAGTACTGCTTGTAGTTATAGGGAACGATGTTCTCAGGAATGATGTTATTTATAAGAATTTCATGCCCCTAAAGCAAGCTTAAATTTTCCTTCAGTTATTGAAGTTGGTAAATTAATACCTTTGATAATTTTATAACTTTCTGTGGAAGACCGCTGGTTCATTTCAGTGGTTATAAGAATCAATAACTACAAAAATATATACTCTCTGATAGTATTGTTGAGGCTTTTTCTCCAGTAACAAAGAATCTTTGCTCAATTCTTCACCCCTTGTCCCCAGTCTCACCTCTATTCCCAATATGCAGTCCTCAACTAGACCCATTCTTCCAGGCTGATGCTGAGTTTATTTACTCTGAGCAATATTTTCAGGAATCATCACCAGCAGATTACTACGATGAACATTTTTTTTAGTTTGGCCTCAAGTCTATGAAATTAATTTCCATTTTGATAATCACAAGACTTCCCTTGGAAATATCAGTGACTGCACAAGCCATAGGCAGCTCAAGTGTAGATGTTCCATCATCTGAATAGGGTTGGTTATGTTTTCAATTGGAACAAGGTATTAAGTGATTAAACCATGCCAGAGGACACAGCACTTTTATCAAGCCCTTTTCTATCCAAGCAGGCACAAGGATAGTCAATCCCTGGCCCTGAAAGTCTCCAAGGAAAACTTGGAATGCTTTAGGAAATCATGTTTATAATTAAAGCACTGACATTTTTCTTCTCATTACAGAATAAAGGCTGAATACATTTTTTAAACTTTACCCCCCCCTTTTTTTTTATTTCAATAAGCTGCTTAAGATCCCCTTGCATTCATTGACAGGATTTTTGGCCCATTCTGCTATTCTAGTCCACAACCATTTAAGTGTTAAATGTTAGCAGATTACAAGGGACTAATAGTGGAATATTCGGAATTCTACACGCCATTATTTTAATTCCTACCACAGCTAGCATTCACACAAGATAGAAGATCAAAAACCAGTTTGGGCACTATATTTTGCCCACCTTCTTGTAGATATAGTTAGAACACTGATGTGGCATCCCCTTATTCCTCTCAGCCTACCTGGCACGTGTCTGAGAGAATGAATGAATTAAATGAATGAATAAATATGCAAGGTACCCAATGTCTATTTAACTATTTAGACCTGTGGAAGAACTGGTAGCTTTTTAGTGACTACTAGCATGGGTTCTATATTATAAATGTTCTTAAATAAAGATACAAAATGAACACAATAAGATACTAAGTATATGTCATAAATCTGAAATAAAATTGCTATAGCAGTCCATTATCATAAAACTCTTTTTAGAAGTCTTCCAACAGAGGGAAATTGGGGCCAGTAAAACCAAACTTACTGGAAAGGCCAAAAGGTTACATTGTCAGGCACTGTTCTTAGTGCTTTGTGTGGATTATCTCATTCAATCCACCCAGGAAAACCATCTGAAGGCATGGACAATAATGACCAATTTACAGGTAAGGACAACAGGGCTTAGAGAGGTTAACCCACTGCTTAGCATCATATGATATTGATGACTGGCATTCTAGAGTCAAGGTTTAAACGTAGGCAATCCGGTTGCAGAGACAAAGCTCTTAGCGATTAGGTGGTGCTTCACACAGAAGAGTGTTAAATTAATGCTCATATAACTTGTGGAAAGAAGTATAGGAACACAAAATTAAAGAAAATTTCAGAAAATTAGCAGGTGCTTCCGAGAATCCAAAGACTATGCTTATATTGCTAGTGGCAACAGAAAGAAAAGAAAAGGCAGCATGACCTGGATTGTAGATTCAGCAGAGCTGGGTTCACTGTCTTAACTCCCATTTATCCACCATGAGACCTGGGACAAGTTACCTAACCTCTCTGAGTTAACCTTTCTGAGTCATTTCTTTAACCATATACTGGCAGTACAAATACTAACCCCTTGGAATTGTAATGATTAAATATAATGGATACAAAGTCACATGTATAATAAGCATATGATAAATATAAGTTATTATTGTGTGGGATGTAGATTACAGGATTGAGTTCTATCCTAATTGTTGTCTGAGGCAATATTGGCTTTATTCTGAACATTGAAACGCCAGTATTCAGTTAGGTTATACTCCCCCTAGTTGCTTCCACAACATCCTACTTCTTTTTTTCCCATCCTTATATTTTCAGAGAATTTTCTGTTACACTTAATATGAAACGAAACAGTTACGTTCCTTTGTATTTCAGAGGTCAACTTGCACACAATGTCCCTGTCCTCATGGAAAGTACTTTTTTGAAGGTATAAAGAATGTCACATCTGGAGGAGGCCTGGAAAAAGAGGAAGACTACTATATTTGTATGAGAGAGCTTGAAATGAGAGTGAATAGAATTTTTAATCTGGTCATTAATTTTTCAGTAAGAAGAGTTCTCTCTGTCTATAATGATTTATATTTATTTAATATTTTTAATTTTTAT